CTCTGGACAGACCATGGGAGGTCTGTAGCAAATTTGTGCTTCTTTTTATTATTATTATTATTGTTCTTAATTGAGGCTTAGCCTTTATTTTTGAAATCCCTTATCATCAGTGTTTGTAATCAATGTGTTCGGATAGGCCAAATTAACATGGGGGTCAACAGAGGAGTCAAATTAACAGAGGACTCAGTTATATGAAGGCAGTCAGTGTCGTTCTCCTCTTGTAGCAGGCAGTATCTTCAGTCCTTTGCTTCATGGAAGGTCTCAATATCCAATTTTTCAGAGGTAATCCAACGCCAAAGGCCGCTTCTACCTCAAATCCTGAGCGCACTCAAAAATAGCATGCATAGTTGGCCGAGAAGCACTTTAAGAAAAAAATGGTGGAGAAACTGACTGTTCCTCCTGGGCCTGTAGCTACCTCTTAGGACCTAGAGCACTTTCTAAAGTCAGTTTAAACATTCAGTGAATTCAGGGATCTCTGCAGCTCAATAATCTGAATTTTCAGGTGAGACCGTAATGGCATAGACAGCCATCAGTTATTAATGCCATGAAGGTTTTTGTAGAAGATGTGTTCATAAAATGTTCTCTCACTCTGGGAAATGTTGTGTGAAATTGTATCTGAATATTGTGTGCCTGTGCCCTGATCTGTGCGTTCCGGTGATTGATTATAATTCCAGTAAATATAATGTCAGTACAGGTCTTTTGGGGATCCTTAATGAGATGATGGCATAAGTGGAGGTAGCAGTGCTGTCTATAATTAAAAGCATCTAATCTTCTCTATAATGATATGCTGTAATTGCCTGTAATTTTACGTATACCTGTTCATTACCAGTTGTTAGTTTTTTAATCTGTATTTTTGGTCACCTTCAGCAAAACAATGACGCCCTTTTCCTGAATGAGTAATATGATACATATGTGATTTTACTTGACTTTTGCAGTCTTTAACATTCTTGCATTCTTTGGGCATGTGTTAGTGTTTCTTCAGGAAGGTTTGTGCAAAAAGTATTGCCACAGCAAATTTGAGTGAAGGTTGTGGGCGCCGTTCCCTTTACTTATTTTGCTGCTGTTGGAGTTGAATCTAGCAGCTACAGGAGTTCTCATATTGTAACTGTGTTGTAAAAAAAGAAGACAGCTAGGAATTCAGAGTCCCAAAAATCCTTTAAAAGTATAAAGGTAAAACCTCCTTTGAATATCTGTAAAGTTTTTGACATACTTGCTTAGAGAATATAAGCTCAGTAAGTAGACACACATGACCTCAAAGCTGATCTTGAGCTTTTTTTCCCTTGATCTTTATGCCACTCAGTGACTGTCAGTGTAAGGCAGAAGTAGAAGATGCACCGATTAAAAATAATGTTAAAAGAACTTTATAAGAATGTTAGGAAAATTAATTTTGGATAAGGACAGAAGTTTTCCACTCACAAGGCTGAAAAGATGGGTGCTGGGTCAGGCTGATCTATGCTATAATCAATGCAAAATAAGTATGTCTCATACTTTATGGCTTACAATTTTTGCATAAGCGAATAGAATTGGTGTCACCATATTAATATATTCTGAGGCTCCACTAGCAGCTGCTTAAAATATATATATATTTGTTTTAGGAGTGCTTTGTAGCTCAAATGCTTTGGGTAATGAATGATAAGTGTATTGTCTTATAATCTGTCTTCTGTTTGGATTTCTTAAAACCAAATCACAAAGTTTAGTAACTACTGTAATAATAGTATTTATTTTCTCTTCCTCTTTCTCCTTCTTTCCACTCCGCTGACTTTTCTGTTTTGAAGGCTCAGGATCAAGCTTTTTCCAGAAGTCGCATGTTTCTGCTGTGCTCACTGTCAGGTAGCTCAGGTTGCACAAATTTGCCCAGCAAATTCTAGGCCTGTATAAAAAGTAAAAATTGCCTTAATTTCCCTGTGTATGACACCTGAATTTGTAAAATCTTGGAAGGGAATTTGTTCTAAATATAAGTGGCAACCAAACAGCTAGTAGAGATGACAACTTGCATGTGTAAATTCTCAGTTTTCATGAATGGCTGCGAGCACTGGGTATGCAAAATGTCCTTGCAATTGTATGTAGACTTTAAAGAACATCCTAATACCTAGAGCCTGGCTGTTACTGAGATCATACTGATAACCTCGTGTAAGGGAGACCCTTGTGATGAAACCAATCTGCCATTGATGGATTGGTGAAAGGTGATGCAGTAACTTTCCTTTAGGGCCCACCGCTGAATGGGTGGTGACAAAAGATGCAGTAAAAAGCAAAACAGAACTAAATGCCTTCTTGCTTCAATCCTTTTTGGTAAGACCAGCTCTCAGGAATGCGAGGCCAAGGAGACCAGGGAGAAGGTCTAGAGGAAGGGTTTCCCTTGATGGAGGAGGATCAGGTTAGGGATCACCTGAGTAAACCTGGGTCCGTGGGCCCTAATGGGATGTATCCACAAGCACTGAGAGCGGTCAGCATGTGAAAGGCCATAGTGATCAGGAGAGATGCCCATGGACTAGAAGAAAGCCACTCCAATCTTTAAAAAGGGCAAGAAGGAGGACCCAGAGAGCTCCAGGCCAGTCAGCCTCACCTCCACCCCTGGGAAGGTGATGGAGCAACTCATCTGGGATGCTATTTCTGAGCATATCAAAGACGAGGTGATGAGGAAAGGTCAGCAAGGTTTCACAAAGGGGAAATCAAGCCTAACCAACCTGATAGACATCTGTGATGGAATGAGTAGCTGGGTAGATGAGGGGAGAGCAGTGGATGTCACCTGCCTTGGCTTCAGCAAGGCTTTCAACACTGTCTCCCATAACATCCTTGTGTGCGAGCTCAGGAAGCGTGGGCTGGATGAGTGGATGGGCAGGTGGCCCTCCTGCTCCTAGGGAGCAGTAACCCCATGCGTCAGGACAGGCTGGCTAGACCTGAGGGTGTAAGGAGACCAAGGCCAGACTCTTTGTGGTGATGCCCAGCGACAGGGCCAGAGGCAATGAGCTCAAACCAAAACACAGGAATTTCCATCTGAACATAAGAAAGATCTTTTTTCCCTGTGAGGGAGACTGGTACAGGTTGCCCAGAGAGGTTGTGGACTCTCCATCCTTGGAGATGTTCAAAAGTCACCTGGAGAGAGTCCTAGGCAATGTGCCCTAGGTGACCCTGACCCTGGAGTGGTCTTTCAATAAAAATGTTGTGGGCAGGAAGAAATTATTAACTGATGTAGGTCCTTCATACATGACTGTCAGTATAAAATTTGAAAACTGTGTTTGTGCAAAACTGAAAAGTAACTGTACCTGGGTGCATGTTATAGTTGGACTTATTTAGCAACGTTTTGTTTTCCATTACCAAGGAAAATCAAGCAGACAGAGGGAAAACACTGTCACCAGTTAGTCTTAACAAATGGAAGCATTGCTGATCACTGACATTAAGGGAGCTGGTAAAGGCTTATGTTAAAACCATAACAACCTGAAGAGGCTGGGTCTTGACTGATAGACACTGCTTAAAGCCTCGTTAGCTGCTGATAAAAGAATTTTTGAGCTATTTATCTTCTTTTTATCTTACCCAGGAGCCATGTATGCATTTAAAGGTCAAATTCCTTTTGTTTTGTTTGCAGATTTCAATAATGTAAATGGGAATAGACTGCTGTGTTTCATGTTTAGAGTCCAGCATGGCAGTTCCATGTGAAGATCTAGCAAGTTAAATACTAGTTAGTGACTTTTAGTTAGTGACTAGTTAGTGACTTTTCCAGTCTCAAACTTGGATTGACACCAGAATTGGTACTCCAGTTCTTTTTTTTTTTTTTTTTAATCTGTTCTTGCAAAGCCCTGAAGTTTTGGCAGGCTGCTAATCGCACAGCAGTGCAATGGGACATGACTTCCTTACAGCTTGAATTGAAATCTTGTGGCTGTTAGCTTTTTGCACAGTGTACAAACACACTGCACTGTCAAGGTGACTGTCTTGCGGTGTAGTTGGCACCCCAATTGCCATTTTGCAGTATCACAGCTAGGAGAGCTAAACAGTAACTTTTAATTAGCTCCTCCCTTCAGTTTTTTAAGCCTGCCTCTTTTCTGTGTCACTGTTCTTAAAGCTTAGCTTCATACACTGTGTCTTGCAGCAGGGTGCATAGCTTTTCCTTTGTTTCTTGTGGTTCTCACTGGTTGACATGTATAGTTGCTTGTAGTTTACCAAGCAAATTGCTTGCTTACACATTCAACTTACTGCTTTTCCCATTAGCTTCAAGCATGTACTGAAGAACAGTTAAGTTTCACCAGTGACCGAAATTAATTAGTGAAAAGAACTTGAAGACAGTGCAGGAATTTTGCATAATTTACACTCACAGATGGCTCTTTATGTGAGCATAGTTATTTAATTGCTTTAGTGTTGCCCACCCATTTTTTCCCAAAGGTCATACAGGCATTCTGGGTGACAGTGGATCACAGTCATGCAGGTGAATTGTTTTCTTCCACTTTACATAAAAACTAGTGTACAGTTTAACAGCTGGTAGTTGCCGTAATAGAAATTATATTGTCAACTATATTCTTGCTATTTTATTAGTAGTAGGTTCAGAACAGAAAAGAGCTCAGAATACCTCCTAAGTGGGGTGATAGCAGGGAAGAGCAATCGCAAGATAAAGTGACAGGAACTTTACTTTTCAGTGCACTGTACCCATTTTGTATACTTTATTGCTACTCTGCAATTGAAATTAGCATAGTAATCGTTTATATGCAACATCTTTAATTGCTTTTAATATATATATTAAATAATAATTAAGTTTTTTATAATCTTGGTGTATATATATAAGTATGAATTAAGTTAATATGAATGTGCTCTGAGTGTCCCTGCTGGAGCAGGGGGTTGGACTAGATGATCTCTAGAGGTCCCTTCCAACCTCAACCGTTCTGTGATTCTGCGTGAAAGCTGAGTTGCTTTGATAGCCTCTTTCTTCCCCAACATGAACTAAATAATAAATTTCCCACTTGTAGAGGGGTGAGTCCTCATTTTCCTTAGTAACTTTTTTCCTCCCTTTATTTTTAGGAAAGCTGTAGAAGAGTTACTTAAAGAGGCAAAACGTGGCCGAACCCGAGCTGAAACAATGGGGGCTATGGGATGGTAAGTCAGCAAGTAAATGAGCATGGAATTTGCTATATTTTCTTAATGCAGGTGCCGACAAGAACTGAACGCTAAGATCTATGTATTTGTCCCACTAAAAATATGATTCTAGATAGATAAGAACTTGAAGAAAATCCTGCCCAGTTAGAATTGCATGACTAAGTATATTAAAAGCAAAGCAATTGGAGAACTGGGAGTAGTTTTTGTAATAGTATTTTTTTATAGTAGATGGAATTGCAAACTTTAGAGTGCAGCCTTACAGAACTTCAGTATTAGATAGCCTCAATGTACATGTACTTACATGATGGCTGCCTATTAGTGGGTTGAATTCTGTTTACTTTTTAAAAAATTGATAGCATAACACAAGAACAAAGCCCTCAAAACATAGTATAATAATAAATTTCTTTCAGCAGTTTATTCGTATGTAAATTGCAGCCAAAAGTAAATTCAAAATATCATCCAATTTTGGGAAAAGGTATTTTTTTAAGACCTTAAAAAAAAAAAAAGTCGTATAATGCAGATGCTATTCTGTTTAGTGAATGGGGAAATAATAAGAGTGAATAATAATAATATGAATAATAAAAACTCATTTATTGTGTGAAATACAGTGTTAATTTGAATGCAATATTTCAGTTTTTACAACTAGATTATGGTGGAATGTAATGTATATTATTGTAATTAGAGACATAAGAACAGGCTGAGAGGATTCATGTGTCCTTAGCTGATGTAGATGACTGGTAAGCTCTCTGATATAGGGATATTCACACAAGCATAGTTGACTGTGTTAAACTCATCTGTAGATAAGGTCTGGCTCCCTCCACTGACAATGTTAAACGATAAGCCTATACCATCAGTGAAGTTCTCAACTGATTTCTCAGCTATGTTTGTTTTAAAGTAGCTCCAAAAAATTAAAATAGTATCTTGCCCCTAAAGGTTGATCTTTTATGTTTTCTAATCATGTTTTATATTTTCGTGCATTTTAGCCAGTACTTCTGCTAGGCATGTGATTTATACCATATGTACTGAAACAGTTGAATTGGTTTAGTTGCCCAGTGCTGACATAGCACACTTTTACTCTGTGAGCCTTCTCAAATGGTGAGGTAATTAATACAGATCAGTTAGCACCGTGAGGGGCAGTATGCATCCATATACTGTGAATTTGCGGGTTAATTCCAGGTGTGGAGACTGAAGATCTATGTCAGGAGAAAACCAAGCAGCCCAGAATCCTGTGCAGTGTTGTGGCTTCAAATTGTGCAGCCTGGAATCCTACCCATATTTGTAGTAGTGTGCACAGGCTTCTGCTCCCAGCTCTTTCTTATTCCTTGTCTGTGTGAGTGTAGTGATCACACCGAAGTGACTGTGATTGCATGGGGTTTACTAACACCTGGTCCCCAAGACCTGCCAGAGAGGAGGTAGTTGAAGATGACCTGTTTTGAAAACAGCTTTGGATTCAGTTATGCTGAGATGGCAGCTTGTTAGGCCTGAGGTTATTTTAAAGCTGTAGGAGAGAAGAGGATTGTTTGGAAGACTTCAAGCTGAGGAAGACATGGGGACTGGCATGAAGATACTTGCTTACTTCTCAATTCAGGACTAATCTTGCTCTCAAATGTGGAGAAATATGAGAATAGCTGAACAGAGTCAAATGAGAGATCCATTTTTGCAGCACTCCGTCTTTATCTGCTAAATGGCCAATGCTTAAGAAATGGAGTGAAAATGGTTATACTTTACCATTTACTGTAAATGGTAATACTTCACTGAGGGAGTACTTCTTCAGGACAATATTCGTTCTTCTGCCAGTCTGCACCTCAGGATATTCTGCATTAGGGATGATATTTTTGCATTTGATGCCTTTACAGGGATTTTTCCTTCTCAGAGTTTGTCCATAGAGAGATTAATGGGTTTAATCCCATCTGTCACAAATGTGCTGCTATAGAGCCGGCATAGGCTAGGATACAGCTGGTGTGTGGCCACGGGGAGGGTGTAAAGTCTCCCTGGGCAGCTTCCCAGTACGTCTTGGTGTCTCGTTCTGCAGGCACAGAGGAAGCTGCCACTGCTCTCAACCATTTCACAGAATCACAGACTGCTTAGGGTTGGAAGGGGCCTCTAGAGATCATCTAGTCCAACTGTTCTCTGTTTCAAGAAATGTATTAAATATTTTTGGTGCCTGATTGTGGTGTTTTGATCTCTCAGAATGGCCCAGCAATTCAATGTTGCATATGTTAGATAGCCAATAAAGTGTTTGGAAGAAAACTTATCCTGCTGCATTGGGTACCAGCCTGCAGTAATATCACATCAGATGCAAGCAGTGTTACAGTAAATCCTGAGGAGTTTCAGAGATTTGATTCAGAGCTGACCTGTTATCTTGCAACTGTAACTGCTGCGAGGATGGTAGCGACTGTTTTGAACTTTGAGGATGCCGAATGAAACCTGCAGAAAAGATTGTTTACCAAAATGTGTACTAGTAGACGAAATCCAGGAAATCATGAACAGGCAGAAGCAAACAGGCAAGGACATCCCCAGTGTGACCAAAGCAACCTCAACACGTAAAGCACAAAGCCTGCCCGCTCTGCCAAATTCAAAATTGTCACAGGAGTCTTCCATGAGGGCTCCTGGGCTTTCCTCCACATAGGATCATGGAGAAGGGATGCACAAACCTGGGGATATCCAGTACAAGCCCATCAATCCTGCGTTGGTCCTGGGTAGCTGAAGCAACCCATCTTAGGAAGAAAATATCTGTTCTGCCATCTCCCTTTAGGTAAAAAGAAACAGAGACTGCTACTACTCCAATTATTCCACATTATGTTGCCTGCCAACAGCTGTTAACATGGGAAATTCACTTCTGGAGTGAACGGGCAGGAATTAGTTGAAGGGAGGTGTGTGTGGCAGCGGCATTGAGAGCTCTCTTTGCATGTCACTACAGAGGATACGAAGTCTCAGCCTTGAAATATGGGACACTGTTGCTAGTATCTCTTCCAGCTTGGAAATATTTTGCCAATGTTACCTTTTTGTGATTGGCATGGGTAGGTGCTGCAAGAGATAGGGATCACACAGCAGTAGAAGAAAGGCTTGATGGAGCTCCGAGGTTGATGGTGATATGCCATTCAGAGAGACCTAGACAGGATGGAGAGTTGGGCAGAGAGGAACCTCATGAGGTTCAGCAAGGACAAGTGTGGGGTCCTGCACCTGGGGAGGAATAACCCCAGGCACCAGGACAGATTAGGGGTTGACCTGCTGGAAAGCAGCTCCGCAGAGAGGGATTTGGGAGTCCTCGTTGACAAGTTAACCATGTCATGCCAATAGGCACTGAGCTCTTGGCTCCTTAAGAGTCCTGGCTCACTGATCTCCATGCTCTCAGGACCCCTTAGATTGGTGGTATCCAGGCCCATGACAATTCATCCAGGAGATATTGAATATCGGTATTTGCAGATTTCACATTACTGGTTCTTGTATGTTCACTTGCTCCTCAGATGTTCTCAAGATCCTTGTTCTCTGCACTGAAGTATTTCTAGTTCCTGGAGTCATCCGTCCTTACCCACTGTACAACCACGGTGTTTCTTGTCTGGAATCTCCTGCCTCCTTTTGATACCCTGTGGTGTTGTAGATTGTGCCACTGTGGTATCTGATTCAAGGTTTCATGATTTTGTGATTCACAGAGTTTAATCATGAGTAAGAAAAGAGGAAGAAAAGATCCTCTTTGAAGCTGTCTTTATCTCTGAAAGATTAAGCAAAAGAGAACAGATTCCGTCTGTAGCTTAAGTTTGATCTACGCTGTCGTGATTATGGAGTTTGAGATGAGAAAAGGGGTCAGAGCAGCTGTCTAGAATTAGCCACTTGAAGGGCCATTTGGATCCGAGATGTTAAATGAATTTATCCTTGGTGCTCAGAGATCATTGAACCCTGGTGGAGTAAAGAGGTAGGATGTCTGGGGACTTGCACTGTGTGCCCTTAGCTAAAAGGGAGCTACACACAGCTTTCCTGTTGTGGTTTTGTCAGTCTATGGGTGTAATTCATAGGCTTCCTTGTAGCAGTGAAGCTCTGTCAACAACTGGTTGTTTTGCATCAGTTGAAAAAGGTGGTTAAAATACCCCAGAAGCTACTGGATAAACAAGTTCTAAAGGCTTTTTTTCTTTTTTTTTTTTTAAATCTTCCCGCATGTAAGTTTGGACTTTGAAGATCCTATCAAGTAAGCTAAAGCTCAACTTAGTCTTCCATGTTTGCTCTGAAACCCCCCCCTTAATAAAGTATGGGAAACAGGATATTTTGAGTTAGTTTGTTTGACTGTGCATTGTAGCTGGAAAAAGATGATGAGCCTTAGAAACATTAAAATATTTTTAATCCTATTTCTTATAAAGCACTCCTAAAATGCTTTCTAGCATAAAGAGAATATTCAATACCAAATGTGCTCATTAGAAGTATTTCAGAATGCTAAATACAGGCAAAAAAGCTTTCACTTTATTGCATCTTGTCAGTGGTTGAATGGTTTCTGCAGAGTCATACAGCATCCCTAGGATGTGATTCTACTAAAGCTTTTCACTCGAATGTAAAGAGGAGGGGGAGCAGGGCATAGACAGAAGTTGTGAAGTAGATAAATTAAAAACTTCTGATCAGAGCACAGATGCTACCAAAGCCCTGGCAGCCGTACGTAACTGCAGGGTCCTTCCAGAAATCCTCTTCTGTGAGATCCCTTATGAAGGAACAGTAAGTGGGAATAAATGCTGTGCCACAAAAAGCTCTGGCCAAAAAAAAAAAGAAAAAATCCAGTTTCTGTTTGGTTGTGTGGTTTGTTTGTAAAATAATTTTTTACGGCATTTTGGGAGTGTCAGAAATGTCAGTTCATGCATCATAAGCCCTGCTATTTACCGGCAGCAGCTGATCTGCTGCGTGTGCCAGGGCTGGTGGTGCCAAGGGTGTTTGATACGTACGGCTACACCTGAGAGGAGAGCCCGTGGTTCACGGTCCTGCGCTCCAGCATCTCAATCAGCGTCTGCCTGTTTTACTAATAAGAAATTCAGTCAGCGCTGAGCTGCAGTGCACTTGATGTCAGCTCTTTGCTGGAAAGCAAGATGGTTCATTTGCACAGGATTTGGCTTGAAACATCAAAAATGGGATTAAGATTTGATTTATGCTTACAAGAATGGATTATATATATTTTTTCTTGTTGATAATGCGGTATTGTCACCTCTTTGGGGAAAGGTGGCTTGCTTTAGGGGTGTAGGATGTTTTATGAGTAAAATCCCTTTGTCTTATCACAACATGCAAATAAAAATATCTAGTGTGCCCTTGATTGGATGCATTGCTGCAGAGCTAGAGACAGCACAGACTGCTTTAGAATTGCAGGCTCGCATGTAGATCTTTGGTCATCTGTAGGCTCTGCTTCAAGCACCCTGGGGTTTGAAGCTTTGCAGTTCTTGCAGTACTTTTAACAGTTTTTTCACCATTGGAAATGCTGGCAAAGGTATCAGTGAGATAATGCAGTTCACTTCTGATCTTCACAGTTACAAACACATCGTGTTCATACATTGTAGACTTGTGTGTGTGCATTGTAACACCCGTGTTACCCCTTCAGGATTTAAAAGCACAGTTTGCTTCACTGAAGTCCAAGGTCAGTAGAAGGAAGGATTGATGCTTCTCCTCAGGTAACTTACTGCTGCTCCATGAAAGCCCAGCAGCCCCTTTTACCTCTGTGTGACAGAGAACTGATGGCAAACTCTAAAAGTAGTTATCTTGTGGAAACCTGTCAGGAAATAGGTAGTGGAGAGAGAACGGCGTGGTAGTTCATTGTATCTTTCTGAAATGACTGGTGTATTTTTCTCATAATAAATCCTCAAAGAAATTATTGGCAGTTATTAACAGTGAACGCTGGAGTAAACTCCATGTCTACTTGAAAGTCACAAAGTATGCTGAGTAATCAGGCATGATCTTAATTCCAATTTTCCTGTTCTGCAATTTGAATAATCAGAGATACTAAAGATTTTTAAATCATCAGTGTGTAGCTTCTACCTTTATACAAAAGTTTCTGGTAGAACATGTAGTTCTAATATTGCACTGTTAGCATTCACAACTCCATGGCTGATTCAGGTAGTGGCACTCCGATCTTCAACATTTCTGCTTTTGTAGAGCAATCCCTTCGTTCTCCACTGAAATGCAAACTCTAAAAATATCTGTGAATACAGACACCACAGTACTTCCTGCAGCCTTCGGAATGATTTCTGCTTATTGAAGGAAAAAAAGTTCTACCTTGAATTTGTTCACTTCATTCTTGAAGAGGTGACAAACAGGGAGTAAAGAGCATGCATTTGTTACCAACAAGATAAATGAAGTATAAAATACTCATTTACCAAAACCCCCTGAGACATTATTTGAAAAAAGAAAGTATTAAGCTGGCAGAAGAGAAGTCAGAAGCAATGGATGAGAAGCTGAATGAGGGAAAGGGCAGGAGAAGTTTCTTATTTATTTAAGAAAATGAAACAGAGTATTTTCCTTGGTAGGCAGTTGCCAGATGTAAGTTAAGTTTGATAAGCCTTGTGCATCTGTTTTATTGCTGTAACTACTTAGGTTCTTTATGCGGGAGTATCTTTTGTTTTCTGAATATCTCAGTTCATTAAATAATGTTGACTGTAGTAGATTATGATCTTGTAAACCATTCCTACTTGACTTAAATCGTCTTAAATGTCTAATTCCTGAATAACTAAATTGAGCATTGACAAACTTAAATTTGTTGGTCATCTCAAAAGGGTACGTTAAACATTAGCCTTGCCTTATGTGCTTCCCCCTGCACATGGAGGGAAACAAATGTGTATCTTCAGTCTATTAAAATATTTTTTAATGTTGAGTAAAGTAATAGGAAAATAGACACAACCTTGAACATATCTTTCTGTACTGAGAGTTTACACTAGGTGGCATGCAAGGAAAGCCGAAAGCACAAATCTGTCTTAAAACTGCTGAAGTTGGACTTTCAGACTTGTTTCAGATGTCTTTGTTATGTCTTCTGATCACTTTCACGTGTCTTTGCAGGTTGAAATGTCCTCTTGCTGGTGCAAATAAAAGATTTCTTGTTAATACCATCAAAAATACATTACCTGCTCAGAAAGAGCAAGACCAAGAACGTGAGCCTGAGGAAGTCAGCAAGGAACCCGAGCCAAACAAAAGCAGGAAGGAAGAAAAACCAAAGAAACGCCGAATTCATCCATACACCCCCAGCTTTCAGTCCAGGAGGAGAGTCAGCTACTCTCCTCCTAGGTATCGGAACAGGAACCAGCACGCAAAGGATAAGTATGAAAAACGAGCAAGCAAACGATGAGGAAAAGGAGTACGTATTGCTACAAGCCAAGAATGTCATTAAATATTGGACTGCAGGGATTTTCAGGTTTTCAGCCAGAGATGACGTTCAGAATTGATTTTTGAACAGAGAGTTGGTTTTGTGAGAAGTAGCCTTGAGGTAGATTTATACGACTTGTCTTCGGGACCTTTAAGAGAGAAGTAAAGGTGCAGGATAAATCTTTCTGTTGTTTTTTTTCCTCCTTTCCTCACTCTCCTTCTGGGTGAGCATTGGGTTTTGGTAATGGAGCTTGGTACATGTTACACTGTCTGATACAATTTATTTAGTCATTTCATCCTCTGAGAAATAAGTTTAAATTAAGCAAAACTCTATTTATTGCATAGCGTTGTCAGAACTTCTTTGCTGCTAAATCAATGAAGAAGTTTTGCTTGTTTGGGTTGGTTTGGTTTTCCAGAAACTGAAAGAAGGGAGATTTGGTCCATACCTGGCCACACACGTATATTTTATGTAGCGTATAAGAATTGGGTTTCTTTAAACAGTATAAAAAGTACAGATTTAAAGTTGACAATACTGGCTTTACCTCCCTGGAGGAATTCCCAGGAAATTCTGCTTGTTATTGTATTAATCACAAACCTGTCATAGATAACAATAAACATTGCCCCTAAAAAGCCATAACTGCAATAATCGTCTCTGTTTAGACTTCCCTCTGTAAGGAAGTACTTTGAACAGTTTATTGTCATGGTGTTTTCAGAACAAACCTTGAAGACAAAATTATCATGTCAGTCCACAGCTATGAAGTTTCTAAGTAAATGTGTAATAATAGAAATGCAGAGAGGATGTATAAATAAGTCAGATGCTCTCCTCCCAAGTCTGTGTGACAATATCGTAGTGGTGCCATTCTTAAACTTGTGACTTGAAGCAGGTATAACTACACATCAGCATATTCTGTGTCTTTTCTGTTTGTGTTACAATAACTTCCATGTGAAATATTTTGCATTTCCCTATCCTCAGAACTAATTGTTTTGAATGTAGGATTCAGTTTTAGAGTTTAAGTGTGTTGACAATAAAACCTGATGTGTTTAAGTGCTTTGTGGAATCTGTGCTTTCAAAGGGTTTATTACTAAACTGAAATGGGTGTATGTCATGTAACAGAAAGGAGCAGTCAGTGTTTCAAAGTCCTTCAGTGTTGTGTCAGAGCAAAGAGTGCCATCTATAGGTTAATCTATATCTTGTCCTGTTAGACTTGTCTTACTCGGAAAGATCATGTTAACCAGGTGAACGAGAGACCAAAATGGAGATGTGCTGTGACCGAGTACTGATTTAGTAGCAGGAATTGCTCCTCTCAATAGAGGAAAGGCAGTTAAACTGATGTAGAGGCCACCAGTGAATCTTAGGGTCGTTGTATCCATCAAAGCGAGATACTTTTAAATTTCCACAGAAGATATGTAGCTAGTCTCTCCATTTATCTGCAGGGACCATAACCCTACAGTAGAAGTCATCCCAGCCTTTCAAAAAGCTCTAAGTGGGAGCAAAAGGAAAAGTAATTTGTGGAGAATCTAGGACTAGTGAGATTTTGAGAAAAACGTCCAGGTGTCTGATTTAAATAATCAGGCTTTGTTTCCAGTCTTTATTTTGCCATGCGTTTCCTCCTTGATACTTCCCGTGGAAGGACACCATTTCTACTGGTGTGTGCGCCGGCCTCTGCTGCAGTGACACTGCTGCACAGACATGGATTTGCAGCAGAGAATTCCCCTCAGAGCTGCTCAGGACGGGGGCTGCAGAGGGTTATAGGCTTTTCTGAGGGCTTTCCACACTCACACCTTCTGACGCACCTTAAGGATAGGTGCTGCTCCTCTTGATTGCTTGTTAATTTAAGGCAGATTTTTGGGCAAGAAAAGTGACTAGAGTATGGTTTAAAAATTAGTCTGGTTCGCTGGTCGACAGTGCTTCCATTTTAAAACTGGAGAACCTGGAATGACCAAAAACGTACAACTGGAGAAAGTTGTCTTCAGCAGCACTGGTAGGTTCAGATATAGTGCTTTGTTTATTTATTTATGGATTGGAGAACATACCTATCTTGTTAGACTTTTACTGATTGATATCGTATCTCATACTGTATTTTATAAGGACATTTAATGAAAACTGTGTTGTTCAGTAGCTATTCTTAAATCAAGGCACATCTTTACCTATGTGTGAATGTGCCTTACTGTAATCCCCTTCTAATCTAACTTCTGGATTAGGATTTCTTGATGAGGCAGCCTGAGACCCAGAAAAAGTGCATGATAGAAAAATATACTTTTTACTGTCATCTTAATGATAAAAAGTGCTGCATGAAGCCAGGTTAGTATTAAAAATGCTCCGCTATTGCACAACAGCAGCATCACAATTATAAGGTATCTCAAAGATAATATTTAGTCTTTGAAACTTGGATTTCAGCATGTCTTTCAAAATACAGTATTATCTTCTGTAACTCTAAATGCTAGGTATTCATAGAAATGCTCAGTCTTTTAAAAAGAAATTATATATTTCTGGTCTTAACTCCCTGTAGCAGTGAGTTTCAGCCTAGTTACTTGGATGGCAGGGAAATGCACCTTAGGTTAATATTACTACAGTAATAGTTCAAAGGTGTTTCTTCTTCAGCTGTGACCTGTTGAAGTTGTCTTTAAAATTAGTATTACTCTTGCCATAGCTGCAATAGCTTTTCCATTAGATTTTGTCTTTCATTATTATTATTTTGCTGGGCAGAATCATACAGAGTGTCTGTTTTCATCAAGCCAATATTGAATGTAGATGCAATGCAAAAGAAGAGAAACACTTTAGATTTTACCCAATATTTTTATTAGTATGGACTACATATTTTAACTACTATTTTGACTACATATTGTTCTAGAAAGGATTTAAAATCCAAGTCAGGGATATAATAATACGCAATTCTTCTTACATTCATTGTACAGGCTCTTCTCTTTTGTAAATCCAATCTGAGTTATTTACAATGAATCATAAAAGCCATGAACTTCCAAGCAAAGCCTAACAGATTTGATGTATAACAAGACCTAAAGGGAAAAAAACACCCTGTTTTTCAGGCTAATTCAAATTTATTTCACAGAAGTTTTTTGAGGTGCAGCTATAATAGTGTTCTTTAGTGATTATGAAATATCTACTGAAAACTGCCTAACAAAAGAGATGTAAATGTTTTTACATCAATGGAATAATGTAGCAGGAGGGGGTGGCTTTTTCTGCACAAACAGAACTGTTTTTTGTGTTTTGTCTGCAAGTTGATCACTAAGAAGCATGTTTCTTCTTCTGCCCTATCAGAGCTCTCATTAATAAATATGTGTTTTCACTTAATTAAACTGGAACAACACAAAAGCAGACTTGCTTTGAATAAGTAGCAAGAAAACATTTGGATGGCATTTGTAGGATTTTATTCATTTTATCAGTAGAGTAACTGATCCACCAAATCTTTATTCATGTGAGTGATCTTTGCACTTGCAAATAATCCTGTTGTAGCTCACAACCTATGAATGAAACTATCTTTTCTGCATTGATATGCATGGCCTTTCTTTTATTTACTATTGACTATTTCCAGTGACAGTCAAAGAGGGGAATAGCTCCAACAAAAAAAATGCAAAAATATATGTTTATACTAGATAAAATAGAAGAGAGGGGGGAAAAAATCAGCTACTTTCATGACAGAATATTTACCAGTCTGTCTTTCAAATAAACACTACTGATGTATCTTCCCTTATTTGTTCATATATCATATGAGATAAATATATAAAATACATCAATTCAGTATTGCTTAGAATCTATGTTTATCAAAGACTTATTTAATAACTCTCAGGTGCTACCCCTGCACCTTATAATCCAGGAAGGCTGCATCTAGATGGAATCTCAAAACCTTGATATTTTCTCTATGTACAACCAAACTCAGCCTTTCTTAATGAAGGAAAGCACAAAGAATATGCTATTCTTTGCAGAAATTTGCTGCTCATGCAATATTTGCCCCTGCCCAAATGGTAAGTCTTGCATTATAGCTGGAATGCCAAGCCAAATACTTTGCCTGAGGAACAGTGTGAGTTCTTTGTACCTCTCCTGAGAGCATCCTCTGTGTTTCATATTAAGAGAGGTGCAGAACTAGTGTGTAGAACTAACTGCAAGGCCATGGTGTGGGAAGTGGCACGATGTGGAAAGGGGAATACAGTCCCTTGTAACATTGGCATAAACCTCTGGAAATACAAGTTCAGTTCCCTCGTCTACAAGCTGTCTGATCTTAGACACTTTTTACTGTTTGCTTGGTTCTCTGGATATGTAGGAATAGGTTCTGCAGTGTCATAAGCTGTATTTCTCACCCATCTTCTTTTCACTCCTACAGCCACACATGAGCTGTGTCACAGAGTGAAGTTAATAGCATTTTAATGGGATGTATGGGAAAAGACTAGACTACAGCAGAAGACCGGTGTAATTGAGGATTAAACCGGACTCTAAGGCTGCAAGTGCAAGCCCGGAGGGCACACAGAGTTGCTGGAGAGCGGGAGGGTGATCCTGCTGCTGCTCTGCCCTTTAGCACTCACATGTCAGCTCAGCTTTGTGTGGGAGGATCCTTGGATACTGCACCAAGGCCACCTTGTCTTGGGTTTCAGGTGGGGAAATGGCTTTTCCTTGGTTTCTCATCAATGCTGATGAGCCTCAGATCTCCAAACTATAGATGCTCTGAGGTGAGGATCTGCACTTCTGTGGGGAGTGCGTCACTGCAGGTAGACTTTGAAAGTCGACAAAAGATAGTAACGTTTGTAAGGCTAAAGGCACAAGCCCTAGAGTTCTCTAGAGCTGACTGTGGTGCCTCTCACCAGTATATGGTAATTAGAATAATGAAAGCTAAAATATACGTCAGTTATTCAGTCTTTGATGCTTTTAAATTAGATGTTTAGCTGGTTTTGGTAAAGTTCATCTCCTGGAAACCCTTTGTTCCTACACAGGTTTGTGCCTGTGTAGTCACAGCTCAAGAAGGCCATCCTCAGCAAGACTCCAGCTTGCGGAGAGCTACATTTTGCCATGGAGCACTTGAAAGAGGAGTATGAAAGGAGCAACACAGGGGCAGTTGGCAGTCAGGTAGTGGTCTTGGCCACGATAGTCTTGGGCTGGTCTCACTCCCTTCTCTTCCCAGTCAGGAGTGCACCCAAGCACCTCCAGACATGCATGCTGCTCACTGGA